TTTATGTGAGCCGCCCTGAGTCCCCTCAGGGAAAAGGGCGGCCTACAAATACTAATAAAATCAAAATCAAATCAAAAATCAAAACCTAGTTAATGTACTTTTTATTTTTCCTCCTAAAATACTTCAATTTGTTCTTCAATTAAATTATACATCTTATGTTATATTAAAGATGGAAAAATTCTGATTTATTTTGAACTGGTTTCTTTTTTCCCCCTCAAAAACCTGGCATTTTAATAAGGGTGGCAGACTTTTTATACCCATTGTAGATGGCTTCCTTTTATTTGATGTGCTGTAGCTTTACCAGGGTATCAATTATTCCAAGAATAGGACACACAACTTCTATTTTTATTAAAAGCTCAGCACAAGTGTGAGATCTTAAGACACACAAATGCAACCACTTAAGAATATCTTTTTTTGTTTATACATATTTCCCTCCCCAATTCCTCCAACAGTGGTGAACTCTATTTGTCTTGCCACCATTACTTCACTTTCTGAAAAGTTGGTAATACAAATGTATGTGTAAGGATGACTTTATGGTTAACTTTGTTTCTTAAGCGTTTAGTCATTTCAGAAACCCTAGCTAAATAGAATTGTTTGTCCAGTAAAGCTGCTGTGAAAGTGAAAAGCAATTTCTAGAGACCTAAGAAAAGAGGGCAAATTAATGATTAATAGAAACACTTACATGCATTCATTTAAATGGATGTCAAATCCAGTTGCAAGAAACAGCTATTTGATAATATTCAGATGACTCATTCCACGCAAGAGTAGTTTATTAAAAAGGAACTCAAAATGTATTAGAAAAGAGCAAGCAAGGGTCTGGGCATCTTGTTTTACACAATTTTATTATTATTTTTCTGTTCAAGGAAACAAAAATTTGTTAGATACAAGGTCAATCTATAGTATGATTGTTTGCTATGAAAAGCATTTATGGAAATGTTATAAAATACCCATTAATATATTCAGGCAGCACCCTTCCTCACCTTATAGTTGCTGTTACTAACTGATCACTGTTATTTCCATCTGCACCTTATTTGGTATCAGCATACTGTTGCACTATTTTTATGCCAGGTTCTTAGCAAAAACCTCTATTGAAACCTGAGATACAATCTTTCCATCTCAAATATGTAAGTGGAGAACTATTTTTATAGTTATCCCAGACTATTATACGTAGGAGGAGAGAAATTTAAAATTAGACTTCCTTCTTTCACAAGCAAAAAAGAATGAAAACATCACTTAATTAATTTAGCAAAACTTAATTGTGATAAATCTATTAATTTTATAAAATATGAATCAAATAAGACTCACTCTCTTAAATTTCCCAGGAATGTTCCAATTAGTAACACTAAAAAATATCTATTTTATCATGAGATTAGTGTTTTGTTAATGGGGGTTACAACAGTCTCAAGATATTATTTTTCATGTTTATTCCATCATCTGACACAGAAAATAGGTAATTATTTTACGTAGTGAGCAATATATTACAATCCACAAATAAATGAAATAGCATTGTATAAAAACTTATTTCCTTCATAGGCCTTATAAATGCAACTAAAAAGTTCAAAAGACCTGTCCCAGACTGTACAAATACAGCCAATTTGCAGATCCTTTTATGCATTAATCATATTGACACTGTTCCTCAACCTAGCATCTTCCAGATCTACTGCAGTTTCAGTAACTTATAATTTACTGGTTGAACATCACACAGTTGCCTAATAAAAAGTACTGGAGCAACATGGCACAGTATGGGATGATTTCCCCTGTATATTCAGGAATTTTCTGGAAAATTACATGCAAAATCAATACATTTTACAGTTTGTATCCAAGGAATTAAAATTTCAATTACTTTGACTGCTCCTGTCGGTTTAATTTCGGGATGTTTGATTATTTTAAAAACAAAATACAAGAAAGTAAGATCTGCTTCTAAAGTCACACAACAATTAATGAAAGTAGATTACAGCAGCCCTCTGATAGATTGTGTTATCGATAAAATCTGAAAGCAGTTCTCCTTTTTCAAGTGAAAGATATCTTTGGGAAAAAAAGGAATCCAGTCAGTTTCAATTATCTCACCACCCCCCAAGCAACTGCCTCTGCATCTGAAGATTTTATACAAGCAGTCAAAATAGCTGTTGACTTAAGCTCTAGAAATCATTTGATCCACTTAAATCACGTTTTAGCCTCGCTAAAATCAATGGGGCAAGCCAATTAAGATTATTAATTCCTACTGATTTTTAATTATTTTAATGCAGAAAAGCATAATTAATACAGCCTGACTCCTGAATCCTTACAACTTCTAGGACTGTGCCACTCAATTATTCTTGGAACAATGTATTCCAACTTTATTATGCATGATGTGAAGCAGATATTGTCATCAAACGCCTGCTGATTCATTTCACTAAATAAATCAGCCATTCAATATTAGTAAATTTCAGTCACACCACTGATATTTTAAGTCCACCATGTTCTTCAGCACAAAAATGTCCTAAATTGCTTACGAGTTGTTTTTTTTTAATGTTCCCGTGAACAACTCTAATGGTATCACATGAATCGAAGAATTGAACGGCCTATACAAACAGAGCGCATCCCCCCTCGCGAAGTTTCTGGCTCCTTCACCACCTAATACGGACCCTCCGGCCAATTAAACGTTCCCAGGAAGTTTCATACCTTTTGCGGAGCTTTTAGCAGGCGGTGGACCCCGGCCAGTTGGGTGACCAGGGGGATGTCTTCCCTGAAGGAGTAGAGGGGTGGCCGGGTGGGCTCAGGAAAATTAGTACTATTGAAAGGATCGGTGTCGTCCAGAAACTGCACTCTGCAAACCATCGTTGCGGTAGCCATGGTGCAGCCATTCAAAAAAACATAGACATACAGCCGTGGAAACAGCGGCAGCAAAACGCAAGGTCGAGAAGAACTTCTATCTTCACCACCGAGCAAAAGAAGATGACCCGCTCTCCTCGCAAAATATACAAAGTTATATCTCAGTAATCGGGTGGACGGCAGAAACCTTTGCGCGTCTTTTCCCGCTGCTGAGAAGATCTGGCGCCAACCGCGCCGAGGGAGGGAGAAAGAAAGAACAATATGCACGCAATCCAGGAATCTTGCAAGCAATCATCTCCCGACCATAACTGGGCTGATAGAATCGGGAACAGCCTACGAAAGCTTTAGCCACTCATCAAGGAGAGCAACATTAGATCTGGCGCATCTTCTAGGCAAAGTTACTGCAGAAAGGAAAGGTGGCTGCCGGAGCTAGAACAAGTTCCCGGCGGCGACCGATGGTGGTGGGGGCGGTGGCGGTGCCTCCCTCATTCTCAGCCGGCAGCTCACCCTACCGAAGTGGAAAGAAAAGGCAAATGAGGGAAGCGGCTGCTGCTGGGAAAGTTGCTTCCCTCCCCATTTAGTTATTGCCTGCCAGAAACAATTGCTGGCGCCACCCAGTGGGTGCAGATGAGTGAATCCAACAATGGCGATATGGCACTGCTGTTTCTTTCCCAGGAAGGGCCTAAGTTCATATAGCGGTTGAATCTTTATTTTGAAAACAAGGTTTTATTTTAAAGAACTCCCTCAGTTTGGTATTAGTAATATAATTCATAGGTGCGTTATTTCACGGGAAAGCAAGGCTGGTTTACAAAAATGGAACAATATAATAAATAGTTTTGGGATACATAAGAGTTATATTTCTTCCCCCTCCCCCCAACTCCAGCCTTATATGGAATGTATTATTCCTTACTGTTCCATTCTTTTTCCACACTTTGCACTTTTTCCCCACTTATCCCCCCAAAGAATAATGTGATAGATGTATTTAAGGAAAAACAGCCAATGTAGAAGAAAAAAAACCCAAGGCCTTGCTTACCATTACCAGATATCAAGCAAAGGAAGAACATGGACTATTGGAAAGGAGGACAAATGGGGGAGAGGAGGAAGGCTGAACGAACAAGGTGCACTCTTTAACTTCTTTGCTTACTAAAATTACAGCAAAAGACTGCAGAAAATAGTTATTAGGGCAGCCTATAAATGAAATTTCTTTTTCCGGCATCAGAAGACTGATTATTCAACTGCAATATTTTCCAATAAACAAATATTGTTCTTCATTTTCAAAAATGTGCCAATTAGATTAAAATATGCAATTAATGTCACTCTCTTCAAATTTCAACACATAAGTCATGTGATCTACAGATCTGAATGGCTGGATTGAAACTGATTGCTGGAATCAGGAAATAAATAACAAATCTAAGATGTTGAATCTCTTGACAGATGAAGAAGTAGACAATTTACAATGTAAATTGTAAATACACAAATATTTTAGTATGGCTGTGAAACCCATGCCCCCCCCCCCAAAGTTACTTAAGAACCAGACAATATTTGATTATAATGCTATGGCTGCCAGACAGAGGACATAAGGATAAAAAGGACAGTTATTTAATTTTTTATCCTCATGTCCTTTGTCTGGCAGCCATAGCCTTTATTTAAGAAATGTGTATGGATTCCCAATTCACTCTTTGACTGAGCAGCTAACAAAGATAACAAAGATTTTAGAAAGAGTGAAGAGAAGAGCAACAAAGATTAGGGGGCTGGAGGCTAAAACAATAAAGAACTTGATATATCTACTCTGCAAGAACTTGGTATATTTACTCTGGCTAAAATTAAGGCTAGTAGTGACAGGGTAACAGCAGTCTTCCAGTATTTGAGAGGCTGTCTGAGAGAAGAGGGAATCAAAGCACCTGAGGGCAGGGCAAGAAATTACAGATGTAAATTTATCAAGGAGAAACCCAACCTAAAACCAAGGAAAAATTTCCTGACAATTAGAAAAATTACTCAGTGGAGGATTTTAAGAAGAGGTCGGACAACCATTCTAGAGTCTCCTCCTTGAGCAGGGGGTTGGACTAAAAGATTCCAAGGTTCCTTCCAAATCTATCATTCTGCTTAAGTAAGAGCATTACAGTGATTGTTGGACAAACTTTGCCATCTACTGTCCAAATTCCTGGGTTGGAAAAAAAGTGCACTAAAGCAGATTGATTTCTTTTTAACACACAATATCACAAGCAGCATTTTAATTCTTTGATCTTCATGAAATTAGAGCAGAGGAAAATGACTAAGTTTCATTAAAATCTTGGATTAAAAAATGAAGGAGTAGTTAACTAACAGTATAGCAAGTAACCATTTGTGCTGTCTCTAATAGACAGTACAAATACAATAAAAGTAAATTTGATATGCAGTCTGAGGATTTAGAGAATATATTTGAAGAGAAATGTATTTTTTGCATCTTGGAGCGAAGGGAGAGGACGCGACAAGAGGTGTAGCAAAGCAGTAACCTTTATTCAGCTCATAGT